CTTTCAACTACTAAAAGTTCAACAATGTTAAGCAAAACAGCTAAAAGAAAGCTAATCAAAATCGCTGCAAATCAAAAGAACAGGTTCTAAACAACTCTAAAAAACAACAAGCTAACTAAAATCCCGACTAACCGAATGAGATGTTTCCTCTTTTTATAAGATTTTTAAATAGGCGCAGAACTTTCTCGAAATCAAAAAGAGATATTTATTTAAATGTTAAATGCACGCGCTCTTGTATTTAATTTTCCGGCTTAGCTTTGATACAAAGCAAAGTTTAAAGTTAAAAAACATTTAGCAGAAGTAGCAATAGAAGCTGCCTAAGGTTATACTGTGCAGACATTGAAGACAAAAGTTTTAAACTTAACCAATTTATTAAACAATATATATAAAAATAAAAACAACAATGAATAAATTTAATCATATCAGAAACTTAAAGAGTGTAACATAATCATTATAAAAAAATTACACTTAGTTGATCATCATTAACCCCAAGGGTTTTTCCTTAAAAATATTACAACTATTAAAACACAGTAAATATTTTACCCTGATCTTTAAATACTGGCATTCAATACGCGAAAAAACATATCACTGAACAGAAACTACGCGGTTATTATGAAATTCACTTCACTATAAATAGTCCATGCTTTGTGGTCAAGAAGGCACCTGAAAAAATTAAACTAAATCCTTGAGAGCACTTAAACTGGCAAAAAGCCGCTCACTGTAGTTACACACGAGAAATCACAAGCTTGGAAAAACATCACCTTGCTAATTCTGGAAAAAACACTTGTGTTAAAGATGCTGCCTTCATCAAAAACAGGATGCTGCCATGGCAGTTGCCACCGGAAATCACAGCTTGGAATTTGACGTCACTTAACTTTGGAAACAAATGCCGCCCACAGCAGTTGACCACCAGAAATCAAAACTGAAATCTATGCCTGCCGAAACGTAGAAACAGGATGCCGCCCACTACGGCTGTCGCTCACATCATTGCCGCTTTTCAGAATCCAGAAAAAGTCATCTTTCGGAACGGAATCATGGCGCTAGTCGCTGGCTGGCATGCATTGCAATATCGTCTTCCAATAGGGGCTGGAACGGCACATCACGGAGCTATGAAACAGGAACCAGAAGGGATAAACCAGAGCGACGCGAGATACTTATACCTGAAGTGTACATGTCGTCAGCTCATGGCAATCAATCAGCTATTGGCACGACTCAGCTTTCCAGATGACGTAACATCAAGTTTCGTTTTTGCATCTTAATTAGGCTGGAACAGTCCGTTCTTAATACAAACAGTGGCAGTGAAAAACGAAGTAGAAGTAATTGCTATATCCCTTTAAAATAAGAACTAAACCTTATGTAAAATTTAGAATTATTTCAAGGAGGAGAGGTGACGCAGAAAAAGGGTTAGAATAGGTCATATTTTCCAACACTTTCCTTTAATATTCGTCACATGCTGCACTGCGTGGCAAATAAAACCATTTAATTTACAATTCAACTAACATTAGCTATTTAAATACCAAATCCGTAACAATATATATCTATGTATGACATTTCACCCTTATATCATGTTTGATATTGTGTGCCCATGGAAGGGAACTAAATTATATCACATATGATAACACTGTGACCAAAGAGATTAATGATTTCATGAAATGTGTGGTCTAACACATTTTAATGATATATAGGAGTTTCAGTACAAGATTCCATTTCAGTTTGCAGACTTTTGTACACGAGCAAAATCATACTGTTAAAATATTTTTATTTATTTTTCAACTTTAAAGAATACTGCAAGAAACAAGAAATACTGAAGACAAGTATAAAAAAACTGTTCTATGAATTCAGTTCTGTGTATAGTGAACACCTGAATAATAAAACGCAGAGATTTTTTTCCCTTAATATTCAGTTAAGAGTACTGACCAGTGATGAGCACTGCTAAATTCCACATTCTGTGTTAAGGAAAAGCTGTATGAACAAGTGATATTTTATTAGACAGCCACATTCTTTATTTAATATAGAAATATCAAACAGAATGTAGTTTGGTGTCTTTCTTATATGTATTTATAGTCAGTGTGTTGTCCACCAGTGGCTGAGTGTAAAACTGCTTAACACTGGTTTTGAACTGAGTTTTGAATTCTGGTAAAATGACTTCATGAGAGTTGTCATGGTTTTGCCTATGTGCAAAATACAAGCTAGTTTCCATTACAAATTCCTCCATGAAAGACATTCTTCCAAGGGGTGCAAAATAGAATTGTAGGGAGTGCAAGATAATATTTTTATTTTTATTTAAAGTAAATAATTTTTTAAAAATTACATGCATGAAATTTGTGCATCTGCAAAACATATTTCCTAAACATGCATCGATAGTAGATTTGCTGCATGTATTGTAAACATTAGTCCCATTTTGCAACATAATGTATACTAGTTAATTGAGTGCATTCTGTAGTGATTCTGTGCTATTGCCTGCTCTATTCTTTCTTTCTCTAATAAATAGTGTGCTTAGGCTATATTACTTAACCTAATGTTATTTTTCTTTTAATCAACTTGTTTTCATAATATTATTAATGTTCATGATGTCAGAGAAAAGAAAATAGAATAATGATTATGTGAAGTTTGGTTTTTCACTTGCACCTGTTGTTGTTGTTGCTAATCCTCGTGTCCAGCTTCTACTAGACGAGATCCACGAGTTTATTCACCTTCAAAAAGCACATCTGTTGTTCAGGTACAAGTGACGAACAACTGATGTGCAAAAATCGCAGTGCATACTTTGTGGCGCTGTCTTTTTGTACACAATTCTGAAGCCATCTAAACTGCTGGAACATTTCAACAACTGGCCTGATGGAGGAGATTTTGCTGGCCATGATGTGGAATTATTGAAAGCTAAAGCTAAGCATTCACACTAGGTTTTATCTGAGCTAATGGAAATTGGCTTAGCCAATATTGCTACATGGTGTCCCCCCCCCAAAAAAAAAATTCAGGTTAAGAACCTAAACTTCATATTTAGCTGAACTGGTCAACACTACAAACCAACTCTGTTCTCAGGTTAACCCTTGTGTGAATGCCCTTTTAAAGGCCATCTAGAAAGTTTAGATTTTTTTCAGCCAAAGAAAAACTGGTTTTGCTTGGCGCAGGGAAGCTATGCTGACTGAGCCATATATCTCTATTAGCTGAGATAAACTCTAGTGTCAGTAACCCTTAAGAGTCTTATGCAACTCTAAAGCAATAGATATAATATGCCTTAAATAATAAATATAGATATAGCAATAGATATAATATGCCTTAATTATATAAAAAATAAAAAAGTAAAATGAAAGATGGAAACAAAGTAGGGATGCAAGAATATATGAAAAATTATTTTACTGATAAGGGCTTGGTTGGGGTGATAAGGGTGGAAAAGGTTGGGAACGCATGCCTCAGGCAGATATTGTTGATGTGCTTCACCATAATCTAAATAATTGTAGCTGATGGTTTACTCAAATAGCATAAGCAAATATAAATAATTACAGTCAAAAGTCTTTAATCCGTACACGTCGGGACTTCGCCGATTCCAAATTATCGGTTTTTCTGGATTATAGATCATCTGAATTAATCTGGTAAATTTGAATCTGGTAAGATGGCATGCAGAAATTATAAAATTAAAAATATGAAACCATAATTTATGAAATGAGCAATTATGATCTAAAGGGTATCAAAATTTACAAAAAACAAGCTTAATATTAATTTGTTTACTGTTTTAAACATTTCTTTCAACACACGCATGCGTAAAGCATACATTACGCATAGTCAAAATTAGAAAATTGCAACCAGAAAACTATTTGATGTGTATTCGTGATATTTATAATGACGAGGAATTTGATTTAAATCATATCAAAGACGGAGTACATTGAGATGAAATACTACATTCAGTAAGGAATTATAAGCCAAAAAAAAAAACATCTGCCCTGAAGATAAAGATAGTGTGAAATCAATTCCGTCATTGCGCGGCACGACGTCCCCCCTTCCAACAGAGCAGTCTTGAAATTGATAAACAGATTCGGAATGTTAGAGAAAAAAGAATAGGCCTTAATCCATTTTTGCAGCAATTCCACTTTTGTTTGATGGACATCGAAACATGCTTCGCTTTGTAGATCCTTTGGCAGCTCCAGAATCCCAAACTCTTTTTGATATAATCGAAAGTTCAAGCTTACGTTTTATAGAATTGCTCTACCAGTGTGCAAAAAATAATAAGCTGGATCCAATTAGAAGATTAAGGAACAACGCAATCTGCAACATTAATTGAAATAGACAATTAGATAATTTTAGCTTAGCTTATACTGTCCCTTATACATTAAACGCGCCATACGTAAACGTATTATGCGCATGCGTAAATGCATTATGTGTTTATGCATGCGCAGAAATTTTGTAGCTTTGAGGTTCGGATTATAGATCATTCCAGATTAAAGACTTGACTGTATTAATTTTTTCCTCATCATTGTACCCCTATTGATGGTCATATGTTCTGTGTGTTGATTCATTTGCATAAGAAACCATTTCTTTTGCTGCATATGAATATATAGTGGCTGTTAAAAGCTGCTTAGCAAAATTTTTTTCACCATGGTAAGGTATACCATCACATATTCCTTTAATAGGCTTATTTAGATAAAATTAACAGTAGCAAGTATTTAATGAGAGTTTTACTTGTGAATAATGATCTCATGTTGTCCTTATTGGTGTAACAAGCTGTCATTTGTGAATCTCACCATTTGGCCATAAAAGTTGCTTTTTTAATACATTATTTTTATATACCTGCTACGAGTTTTATAAAGCAATTGTGCAAGTGCATTTTTTTGACTATTTAATGGTGTTGTTCACAGAATAAAAAGCACAATATAAGAAATACATAGTATTGTAAGATTCTTTCATTTTTGTTCTTTTCAGGAAGTGGAAAAAAAAATAAAATTACTTTTTGCATTTTTTTAATATAATAAATTTTTAATTTAAATTAATTTATTTGTGGCTGACAGGTCGCATCTTCTTCTTTAGAAAATTCATTATTGAAGTACAGTGCTAAGGAATACTTCTTCCGAGCTGGGCTTTGTCATTTATGTGTAGATTTATTAAATGCTCAGGTATTTTTCTTTTTATTTTCATTCACTTCTAGTTGTGTGTATAATTTTTTTCTATAATTTTGTAATTATTATTGATATATTTTTGATTGATGACTGCTGATAATTTTTTCAGTCTTTTGTCTTTAATTAAGACACAATAACACACCGAACAAATTAATTCAGAAGTCAAATAACTGAATCAGTCATATTAACGCTGATTTTGGTTGTTTGACGTCTGAATTAGTTCTGTCTTTAAGTTTACTATAATAAATACCCCTTTTTCAATTGATGTGAAATATATTTTTTTTACCATATTTTGTTTGCAATAATATATGATAATCTAAAACAATAAAAGTATTTATGTAGATTTTTTAGATGTAACAAGATTTTTTAGGTGTTGTAGATTTTTTAGATGTTTAAGTCTCATAATATCCTCATTATTTTCTTTTTCATTGTATTTAAGTAAACTATAATTATTATGATTCTGTCTGAGAACATTTAAGTATAGAATTCAAAGTTGTATATAGTCCAAAAAAAAAAAAAAAAAAAAAAAAAAAAAAAAAAAAAAAAGCCAGTTTTGAACAAAAGAACATTTTAAGCAAGTTCTTTTTACTGTCATCTTTTACAAGTTCCTTTTTCTGTTATTATTAAAATTCTTGTTCTTTTGCCTAAAGAAAGTTTTCATAAATTCCAACTATACAAAAGAAAACCATACTAGTTTCATAAAAAATGAAAACTAAATTTAGTGAATATATTTGATTTCTTATATTCAGAAGAAAATAATTTAAAAAATTTTCTAAATTTCATTGTGTTTTAGAAAAGAGGAATCTGCACTGTATTGCAGAAGTATGAATTGAAGTATAAACATTTTACCATTTTTAAAATATTACCCTGTTATTTTAATTACTCTAGCCAAATATTACAGCTCTGTATCTTTTTGTAAGTACAAAATTTCTTGTACTTTCTTTCTCGTACAGCAGAAAAATGCATGAAATCGTAATTTTGTTTATTAAAATTTACTATCACTTTCTAAAACTGATATTATTAGGTTAAAAATTTGCAGAAGTTTTATTTTCAAATGATTAAATATATATTTAATAAAAGCCAATTTCTGAGAAGCATAAGATGTAAGAACACTGAGACGTAGAAACGTAGATCCATATTGAAGAACACTGAAATGCTGATCCACAATGAATAAGAATAAGAATCTTAGAAGTCAAGGCAGTTTTAGTTCTATTTTTATTTAAACTATCATTTGTGGCCACAATTCATTTGACACTCTAATCGTGCCTATTCAAGAATATTTACAGTTTTGATACTGTTGTGATAGGAAGTGAGCACAGCAAAATTACACCCAAGCAGTGTAAAGAGAGAAGCTAAAGCGTGTAGTTATCCAATATGCAAGCACACGAAAAGGAAGGTTTTGATTTGAGTTAGAAAGGTTTCAGTTCTTGGAGTTTAGATTTCCAAAACCCCTTAATTCTCTCTCTTTATTCTAAAAATTTTAATAACTCCTGTAGATCGTGTCATTTCTAGATTAATCTGTATCACAAAGCTTGCATAATGCTGATGACGTGGTTATTTTCAGAACTTAAACCCTGAGATCTGAAACCTTTCTACTAACTAAACCAAAACTTTCTCTTAACAGACTGCCATATTGGATAAATGCACAGTTAGCTTGCAGCTCTGTTGCCACTTGGAAGCTGATTCATTTTGCTGTGCATTGTTGTGCTGTTAACTACGATATTATTTAATATCTGATACTCTCTATAAAATTGTGGTGTATATATTGGGCTCATGATCATGTGTAATGAAAAATATGGTTTCGAATATTAGTTTGTGTCCAGCAGTAAAAATTATGTTCAGTTCGGCTACATCTGTCTGCAAGTCTCTCCTTCGAGTGTCATATTTCTAATTATGCAGCAGTGTCTCCAAACTTTTATCGCATATATATATATATATAATATTTCAAAAGAAACTAATCAAATTTGGAAAAATTACGCTCATTTTATTTGTGCTTCACACATTTTAGTTCATAAAATTTTATATAACCACTGAAATAATTATATGCTTGCATGAATTTTTCAGCTTATATCATTAGCTAGTACCGAAGAAATAGGTATTTTGCTGTGTGTTATTTCATTTTCTAAATATGGATAAATAAATTTAAAATAACCATTTTATAAGAATGACTTTTGCCAAATGATCTGCAATAAAAGAATTATAGGTTGGTTTGAGGCAGTTTAAAATATTTGGATTTAACATGATGACTAGAATTTTTTTGTAGTGGATGACTGACTATATTTAACACACTCTATAATTATGTTTAAATATGGATCCTGTACATCAGAAGTTCAGCATAAGAGTGGCTAAGGTCATTATTGATAGACAATGATGTCTGTAATTAATGGCCCCAAAATTTCAAGTATCTTTTTCTGCTCAACTGTAGTTGCTTAGTGCAGAAAATTCTGGAAAACTGGAAGCAGTGTAAGAGGCTTCATGAATTACTGTAAGAAGTGTCATTCATTCTGGGCACCTTATGTTTTACCAGTTCCTGTACATGTTGTGACAGATAAGAAAATAATCACTTAGGTTTGTGAGTCTGTGAACTACTTGCAATCTGTACTGTTCCCAGATGATTTGAGACGTTACTTTTTAGAGTGATATTAGGATATTATTAAGTATAGAAAAATCTTAGCAGCATGTTTTAAGAGACTGCCACAGCGAGTATTGTTGCATGTAGTTTGGTGTGACATTTCCTTTGCTAAATGCATAGATTTCTTTCTGCCAACAAATAGGAACCCCAGAGCTCAAAAGTATATGTAAGATATCCTGAACTCTTTTGCAAGTGTAAGGTAAACTCTTAATATTATGAGATCAGTGATACTTCTAGCATATTTGGTAGAATCAGTAGAATTAGTAATCAAAACAAAATATGTCTTTATTTACTGCCAGTTGTGAGAACAACTCAGCTGGTATTGTACTATATGCCTATTTATATTGCCTATGTTTAGAGATGGCCTAACACTAGTTTTATACTGATATCAACTAGTAAAATAATGAGTTTTTTATTTTTGCACAGACTGACGTAATTGTTGTGAAGAAGTAATAGTTGTTATTTTTTAACTGATTGACAACACAAGTATTGCTATTAAAATGCATTTTTGTTTAAAGTTGGGAAGTAACCATATCGAAATATTTTTGCCTACTGCATTTTGACACTTCTTTATATTATACTCCTCTGTATATAACGTTTTGGATGAAAAATTTTTACATAAAAGTTGTTAGATAATTTAGGTTTTCATTAAAAAAAATTCAAATATTCGTTTGCTTATCATTGTTTTTCTTAATTTATGATAACCAATGTTATCTTGTTAGAATACACGTGTATTTTTAGGATGTCTTTCACATTCATTCATAGCTCAGTGTTATATGATATTATTTAAGTGCATAATATTACCTTTAAAAATTAAGTTCGACTTACTATGATGATGAATCAGTGCCATGTGGAGAATTTTATTATTGAAGAAAACAAATTTAATTATTCAAGACATAGTGTGCAATTTTTAAGACTGCTCACACATAAAGTTTACAACAAATATTTCCCATGAAGAAAAATAAAAGTTTCTGTTTTGCAAAAATGCAGATTTGCACCATGAATATATTAGCAATTGGTTTCCATGTTAAAAAAAAAAAAAAAAAAAAAAGAGTAAAGAAAAGAAACTGAATAAGGCTTTAGCCCAATTCATAGTATAGTCAGATAATTAATAAAACTTTATTTGAAAATTAATCATAGTCTTGATTAGTAGTCTTGATATATGACTGAAAAAATCAAGTATATGGCCAATGAATGTATTTAATTTATACTGAAATAATCTTTTCAGCATGCTTTGGCCAAATATGAAGAGATGAGTCCATCATTTTCAGATTCCAGAGAATGTAAATTATTGAAGGTAAGTTAAAATTGTCTTTTTCATATCAAACAAAATATTTTTCTCATTTTAAGTGCAATTAAATGCTGTATTTGCAGTATGCCAGAATTATATTTTAATATGAAAATGTTTTTATCTCAAAGTTTTGATATTTTCAATATTTTCATTACCAGTTAAGTAAAATAACTGTATTTATTATTTAAATATTAAAATTTATAAGCTTAAAAGGTAATATATACATAAAACAAAGTATATTAATGATTTAATTTATACAAACAAAGAATATGAATGATTAATATAATTTAACTCTTCATACCTTCTTTTATTCTATAAGTGTAATAATCTTTATGCATTGCTAGAAAAACAGGAATGTTGGTTCTGCACCATTTAACATGTGTGATAGATGTACTATGTAAACTTTAAGCAATTGTAAAATTTCTATCTTCTTTTAGCATTGATTTTAATAAATAAAACAATTAATTTATTGCAAATAATTCCACGTCATCTATGTGGAGCAAAAATTATTCAGTACTTACGTATCAGGACAATTACCTTGGTGCAGTTTGGTGATTCTTTACAGAAGGAAAAAAAATGATGACATAATTTCAAAAAAATATTTATTTTATAAATGCATTGTATGTATACACATTATAGTTTTAAGTAGGTACATATTATGACAAGCGAATAATAAACCTACTTTGAAACAAGTTTTTATTTATTTTGTTTTGATGGAAATTTTCTAGCAGTTGCTTTAAGAATTTATTCAGAGCAGCTGTTTCTTTTAATGGCATGATCTTGACACCATTAAATTTAATTACATATGATTGCAGATAGTGGTGAGCTGTTCACTTGTGCTTCCTATTTTGTCATTTTGCAGGTTCATGCATCTTTCTACATGCTGCATATATGTGCCAATTCTGGCTGCAAAAAATTATTTATATATATAAACTGTTTTGTGCATAAATCCAGCTTCTTTTAGTTCCTCAGTTTTATATACCAACCTACTGTCAGAACAGATGATACATCCTTGTTTAATATTTTAATTTACAGTCAAAAGTCGTTAATTCAGACACCCATAATCCGGAATGATCTATAATCCGGACCTCAAAGCTAAAAACTTTCTGCGCATGCGCCGCGTTGGCACATGCGCACAGGCGTTTTATGCGTGCGCGCAAGACCTTTACTACTGCGCATATGCGTGTGTGCAAGTGCAGAATACGTTTTCGCTTGCGCGTTTAATGTATAACGAACGGTGTAATCTAAAATTATCTAATTATCTATTTCAGTTAATGTTAATGATTGCGTTGTTCCTTAATCTTCGATCCTTAATCTTCAAATTGGATCCCGCTTATTATTTTTTGCAGACTGTAAGAGCAATTTTATAAAAGTAAACTTAAACTTTCGATTATGTCAAATAGAATTTCTGATGCTGGAACTTCCAAAGGATCTACAAAACGAAAGTATGTTTCGATGTCCAACAAACAAAAAGTGGAATTGCTGCAAAAAATGGATAAAGACATGAAGAATGTGACAGAGAGGTCGGTGAAAATGAAAAAATTTCGATTGACAAGTTAGTCGGTATTCTCGGCACAGCAATTAATGGGACTTGAACACCGGAACTTTGTAACTGAACAAGAAATTATGTCTGTTTATAGAATTAAAGAGAAAGTATTATCACATAAAACGAAGCAACTTGAACAACTTACATTGAAAGAAATGTTTAATAAAGTAAACAAATAAATATTAAGCTTTTTTTTTTTTTTTTTTTTTTTTTTTTTTTTTGTAAATTTTGATACCCTTTAGATCATAATTGTTCTTTATTTCATAAATTACGGTTTCATATTTTTAATTTTAGAATTTCTGCATGCCATCTTACGAGATTTAAACTGATGATCTATAATCCGGAAAAATCAATAATCCAGAATCGCCAAAGTCTCGATGAGTCCGGATTAACGACTTTTGACTCTGTTATGCACATTAATGTAGCTGCATTTTATTTGGAACTATAATCAAGAAAGTTTGTTTCCTAGCAGATTTCTCCAAAAATCCATTGACTGTGGCTGTGAAAAACATTATGTTTTTGTTTGAATACAGACTTTTCTCTGTTTCAACAATTATATTTTTTAAACCAGCCATTTTCTGTTCTTCGGCCTCTTTATTAAGAATGTATCTCTCCATATAATTATTAATGTATCACAGTCTTGTAGGTCATTTCTAACTCTTTGCAGCAGAAATTAATGCTGATTATTTCTTTACTCTAACAGTACATACATCTGATTGTTGTAATGACTATAAATAAAACAAGTACCAGTTCAAATCCCTATGCATTCATTATAATGTTTCAAATTTCCTAAAAAAATATTGCTTTAAAAATACTTCTAATGTATCACAATCTTGTTGGTTATTTCTATCTCTGTGCAGCAGAATTTAATACTGATTAATTGTTTGCTTTAGCAGTACGTACATCTGATTGTTGTAATGACTATACTCAAAACAAGTACTAGTTTAAATCCCTATGCATTCATTATAATTTTTCAAATTTCCAAAAATAAAGATTGCTTTAAAAATACTTCAAACAAAAATTTGAACATTCGTAATTCTATGGCAAAATATTGAATTCCTGCAGAAATTTTAGTGCACTTTCCTAACATTTCAAATCTTCCAAGCACATATTTTAAAATTAAGTCTAAGAGTAAAATGTCAGAATTTGCATTTAAAACTGTTGGAGCTTGTAGTATAACAAACAGAACACATACAAAAATGGGAATATTGCTTGTTCAAACTTATAGTTACATACATGGTTGCCTGCGGAATTATAATACACATGGTTGTCAGATTTTGGCATATTCTAAAATGGTTGGGCTGATATGTAAGAATTAATTATTCTGTATAAGCATCTTTATTGATTTAAGTAAGATGGAAAACACGTGGAAATAACACTTTAAATTGAGAATAAAAAGACAAAATTGAGGGAAAATGTGTAACGATAGCTATATAAATGAGGACAAGTATTATATTGTTGTATAATTTAAGATTTAGCTATCCTAAGCAAAAGGAAGTAATTTTATTCTTTTTTTCTTTTAGTGTCAGTATTTTTAAAAATTAATTGCAAGCTTCACAGATTTCTGATTAATTTTTAACTGTGGATAATTAGTTGTATATGTGTGCTTCGAAAAATTTGTTTCATGTGTAACATTTTTTTAATACAAAAAAAAAAAAAAAAAAAAGTTGATGTTAGTTTTTTTTTTTTTTTTTTTTAAATCATCAATCAGCAATTTTATTGCATGGAATTAAATCTTTTCTAAATACACTGGAAAGGAATATTAAAATTACAACTTATTCACTCTTGTGCAATATACTTATATAAATAAATATCTGAATTACACTTGCACACGGCTTCCATATCTCATTAGTGGGATGAGGATGATTAGAAACTGATTTGCACATAACAAAGTCTAGAGGCAGTTGCACCAGTGTTTTTAACAATTCATCATGGTTATCTGTGTGTGTGTTTTCTATTTGTGGTGTGTCATGAGTATAAACTTCTATAATAAAATAGTAGTGTCTCCCATATAAGCATTATATTTCAGTTTTTGTTACTATTCTTGAGTATTTGTCCCGAATAAATGGTGGTGCTTATTAATTGGAGTCTTTTGAATGTATATATAATCAGAATTCTGTCTCTGTGTATTCTACAATTTTTTAATTTTTTTATGCCGTGTTGCCATATTTGATACACATGAAGTTTATATTCTAGATACATTTGGTATGTTTGATTATTTTTATATCGTGTCATTTTTTTTTAGTCTTCATTTAAAATTATTAGTATGTGTTTGGTTTATTGAACATTTAGATAAGGGTGAGCTGAGGGGTGAAGAGAAATGAAATGTAATTGAAAATATGGCTGACATTTATTGAGAAAAGTTAATTTTGTATTCTGTATTTAAACTTAAAAATTCTAATGTAAACTAGTAAAATACACACATGTATGTGTATATATGTTGCCTGGCAAAATGTAAAATGCTGCCATTCTGTAGAATGGCTAGGCATAAGTAGTGTATAATGCCAGAAGTTTTTAAGCAAAGTATGAAAAATTAAAATTATTACACACCTTCTCTCTAGGCATTGTTTATAATACCGAGGCATTCTATATAATGACTAGTGCTGTTTAGACAAAGTATGAAAAAGGTTATGATAAGGCTATTATTTAAAAGACATTTATTCCTCAAAAATACAAATGTTATTTTGAAAAATTAATAAAAGTGCCATTAAAAACTGTTATTCAAAATATCTAAAAAAAGTAGTGGGCTGATCTTGATACAACATAATAAATTTGTATTTTCTATCTGGCTGAGACTGAGAGTCAGTAAGATCTACCTGACAACGGAAACTAAATTCTGAAACAGTCATAAGTTTCACAACAAAGCCCTTTTTAATACCTTTTCGTTTTTCTGGAAAGTCTAACAAAGGTGGTTGTGCAGTTCAATTTCATTATGTGTAACGTTTTCGTATTTGGTTGATATGAAAACAGATAATATGATAAACATATATTATGTTGTTAATACACAAACAGATAAAATTCTTTCAACATTCTGTCATTTTATCCATGTGCTGTACTCATATGAGTTTTCATGAAGTTATGGGAAATAACCCTGTGTCCTTGATGTAATAGTGTATAGTATTGCTGCTTTCTTTAACAGGATAAATGAATGTACACTGCTGGCCAATAAAATTACAACACTAGGAAGAAATGATCAGACAAACATCAAAATCACGTGAAAGGAAGAAGAGGTTGGGATATGCAAATGATTAGTATTCAGTGCATTTAGACGATGGAGGATAGAGAAACAATATTTGGAGCACTACATAAAAGAAAACTTGTGTAGTGGATTTCTCATTCGGAAAGTGCTTTGTAAGGTTGGAGTTTTCTGAGAATATTGAGCTATGCCTCCAATAATAAGAAGAAATGCTTACCAGCAAATGTCAAAATTTGACAGAGGCAGGATCATTGCCTATCGAGA